TATAAGTACCGAGCAAGATATTAAGTCTTAGGTTTTTACTTCTTTGTCTTTTTTATTTTTGTTGTAGTCTAAGACATCATAGAAGCGTCAATCTGACCTATTTTGATTTTGCCACTAAGGTTGCTTAGCCTAGCAGGGTTAACAACCAGACCTTGATATAAATTGCCTAGAATAACTGAAAGAGTGGGAAAGAGCAGTTAGTGCTTATTTGGATCTTATCGCTAGTTTACTTCGGTTTTTAAATGAATGCTTTTGAAAATTTAAAAAAGTTTTTTACCATTTTGTGTCAAGGTTATTTGATTTTACCAGTTTAGCAGATTAATTTTTTTCAAAGCCTTGGCTACCGGTTTTTTCCTCCTCTTGCCATTTTGAAGAATTGCAGTCTTTTTACGCAAAATGTAGAGGAATTTTTTGATCTCACTCAAAGCTTGATTTTGAATGATTCTGTTTTTTCTTCTACTTAGTTCACTTCTTGGAGTTTATTTTCTCTATTTTTCAGCGAGTTTTCAAATCCTTTTTTTTTTTTTTTGACAATATCACATGTTGTACTTTTGATAAAACTTTGACATCGGTTTTTGCGGTTAGTAGGGTACTTACCCTGAGTGAAATGCGTTCTTGTGGTGATCGAATCAGCTCAACAGAACTTTTTTTTCCAAATTTTACGTTGTTATGGCAGGTTGATACTTTGTTGTTTTGTTGGAGAAGTTGAATTTGTTTTAGCTTGAAATAAAAATGTTTTCTCTGTTAAAGAGCGTTAAATTATGCAGAGGATCGAAGTTTCAAAACATTGTAAGAAAACTGTGGAATGATGGAAGCAGTAGATTACGTATTACAAGATGTTCATTTTGACCACAAAGTTATGGTGGCTGATAAAGCAAATCTTATAGGCCTTTTTTCGATATGTTGGTGGATTTATTACGGTATGGTCTCTGAAGTTATTTAATGCGTTAGTCGTGCTGAACTGTCTCCAAATATGCCAAGAAAACTGAGACATAATAGCTTTGGATATTTGCGGTCTGACTAGGAATCTTTGCCCAATTCGAGATAATAAAATTTTTTTCCGACTTTGAACTATGTCAGTTCATGAAGAATTAATCAGTTAATTTCATCAGGCTTTTCTGAGAGGGTATAACTATGTGTTTTAACTGTTGGTTGGACCCTCTCTTTTTGTCGACTAAGCATACAATGACTACTTTTTAGGCGTTGCTTTTTGCTGCTTTAGGACGGAAGATACTGTCTGTACCAGATCTTTGATATAGGTTTTACATTTTTTAGCCTGTTTCTTCTACTGTTTAATGCTTTAGAACTTTGTAACTGTTGGGTACACAAAAGTGCTCTCGGCTAAACTTTGAAATAATTTTTCTAACAAACATTATCGGGATCTGTGTGGTTAAAGCTTTTAAAAACCTAATGGGAATGAGTTAAGATCACGTCTGTTGCTGATAAAAGTAACGCGCAAACTCATCATTTTTAAATGTATCTAAAACAAGCAGTAGAAGCTACGGAAATTAAGGTTAAACAAGTTATTAAATAAATTGGTATAAACCGATATCATAAAAATTTTCTTCGCGAAACACGGGCCCGGTTTCAAATGCTGTCAAAAACTAGATTTCAATTATACAAGAATATTTTTACTTGCTGAAGGAAGAGAGGGAACAGTTCTACTACTTTTCAAAGGTAAAATTTTTTTTGCTAATTTGCAGTACTGTACCTCTGACGTATTTAGGTATTTATATGATGGTAGTTACTATACTACAACGTCCTACACATTTCTGTTCTCAGCACTTTATTATAGTGTACTATACTAATCTGTTTGTTCTA